CCGCAAGGAGTGACCAGGAACAATGGTCACAAGCTGGCGGAGGGAAGGTTTAAGTTGGACATCAGGAGGCGCTACTTCACGGTCAGGGCGGCTAGGGTCTGGAACCAGCTTCCAAGTGAGGTGGTGCAGGCTCCCACCCTGGGAGTTTTTAAGAGGAGGTTGGATGACCACCTTACTGGGGTCGTTTGACCCCAGTGCTCTTCCTGCCATGGCAGGGGGTCGGACTAGATGATCTGCTCAGGTCCCTTCCAACCCTAGAAACTATGAAACTATATTTAAATTTTGAGGCAGCAAGCTTTGTAAAATGTTATTATGGTACATTACAGCAGGCTGTCCAACTGGTGGCCTGTGGTCTGCATGCAGCCCATGAGGGGTTAAGTTGTGGCCCCTGGGCTCCTGCCCAGCCACTGCTGTCCCCATCACACTGGCTACAACAGCAGCTGGAATCTTTGGGCTCCTCCTGCCTGCTCCAGCTTTCAATGCCTGCTCCCACCCCAGGGGAAAGGGCAGGGCAGTACAACATGGCCAGGGGAGCTGAGGGTGAGCCAAAGGCCACTGGGTGCAGCCATAGGGGACAGAGTGCCCACACTGGTGTGCAGTGAAGCAGTGGAGAGTGTGCACAGGTGTGAGTGCAGAGGGGGTCAACTGTGCAGCCCAGTAGGCCCAAGGCTTGCCTTGGTGCAGCCCACTGGCCTGTGGCCCTTGCTGGTGTGACCTGTGGGACATTCAGCCTGTCTGCTTAGAAGTTGGACAGCTCTGCATTACTGACTCATAAAAAATAGGGCTGGAAAGAACCTTGATGTGCCATCTTGTCCAGTTTGCAGCACAAGGTAGTATCGTTCTGGTTTAAACCATCACAGGCATATGTTAATATGATCTGCACTTAAAAACTTCTGAAGACAGAGTGCCTACAATCTCTCTCGCTAATGTGCTCCAGTGTTTAACAGTCCACACTGTTAGAAATGTCTTCCAAATCTGATTTAAATTTCCCTTGTTGCAGTTTATGCCCTATCCCGTGTCCACAGAACAATTGATCACCATCCTCTTTATAACTACCCTTTTTGTATAATCAAATCATCCTTAAGTCTTTTAATCTGTAAACTAAATAATCCCAGTTCTTCAAGCTTTTCATTATGTGTCATGTTTTCTAGATATCTCCTTTTTTTTTTTTGAGGGGGACTTTCTTCAGGGATCTCTCCAATTTGTCCACATCTTTCTTATGCTTTGAAAAGCAGAAACTCTTCTTTTTTTAGCACAATGCCATTCTTATTTTTCTCAGTTTAAATGTTGTTTATTGTCTCCCAAAATTAATTATTTTTCTTTTAAAAAAGAAAACTGGTATTAATAATTTATTATTCTTAAGATTCTTAGAATCTTTTTTATTGGTGTACCACCTCAGAGTAGGTTGAGGGAGAAATAAAAGTAACCAAAGGACCCTGTCCAACTTTGCATCATCTTACAGGTAGGTGGAGTATCTCCTAAAACAGCCTTTAGAATGAATGGGATTAATAAAAGTAACTTTTAGTAGTTCTCTATATATCAACATCACAGGTGAGGAGATGAGTAACAATTCAGAGACTATTCTATTATCTCCTCCTGTTCTTCTGTTTTTCCAAAAACTTAGGGAAAATGTAAAAGATTAATATTGATCTGGCTAGAGCTCTCCACCCCTACCCCTCCCCATTTTTCACTGTACATACCTGAGGAGCAAGTTTAATTCCTTGGGGTTTTAATGTGACATGATTCATTGGGGTCAGCTCCATCCCAGGCAGGAGATCGTAGAGTTTGTCTTCTCCCCTTTTTTCTCCTTTGATCTGGAATCCGCGACCCAGACCAGTGTATGCCAAGTAGCCACGTCCTCCTAGTCCTCTAACTCCCGCAGCCCCTACAGGTACATTCATGTAAATTTCTAGGAATGTAAGAAGGCATTGAACTGAATCAAATCACCGGAAAATTACCCTGATTCTTACTGCATTGGAAAAGTTAGCCTCACTCACTGATCCTACTAAGATGATGGGTATGACTGCTGTCTTGCTAAGAGCTGATGCAAGTTCATATTGTACTTTTACCATGAAGTAGAACTCACAATAGGAATTCCCTTTATTACTTTACTTTTGTTAAAAAGGACAATAGTGCTATAGAGATATAACTATTATCTAAAGGACAATTTTTTAAAATTTTTATAATACTTTGTAGGTTTCTTTTAATTTATATTTACTGTTTGCAATTTCAGCCAGAAAGATTTGAGCAGGCCAGTTTCCTTGGAAAACTCACTGCAGATTAGAAGATGGTGAACAAGGGAATATCAGCATATTACAGTGTACATCTGTAAGATTATCTTTACCTCTGGAGTATCTTGTCTGCATTGAATTCTAGTAGTAATGTCATCATTATACCCTGATTTTTAGCCCATCTTGTCTTATTTTTTTTCTTAAAGGTCTTGAGACATTTTAATTGGAAGGAAAAACCTAGTTATTTATGCCTAAATTCCCATCTTCTCTGTTTTGTTCAGTCACCGTGAGGCTTAATTTTCCATTGAATTCATGCACAGATTACATTTGATTTTTTTTTGCCACTTTTCTAACCTGATTTGCATTTGCACAGTAACAAGGACAGCTAAGTTTTAAACTGATTGCTATCCATCAGCACCCATCAGTATAATTTAAGCATTTTAATGAATTTAGAATATAAAGATCCTCTTCTCTTTGAACTAGGGAGTCTTTTTCATGTTCCACCTGATTCCTTTCAGAATGATTGGGGATTAGGGAATTGAGAAGTAAGAGCACATTAAGGAAGAGGTAACAGGGATTTGGAAGTTTTGATATTTTATAAAGAAGTTTCAGTGCCTGCTAGATGTATATACCCACAGAAAATATAAAGCAATGCAGATTTCCCATAACATAATCCTAACTTTTCTTAATCCTTTTTTAGAGGGATCAGTTCTAAAGGTGAAAGGGTATTCTGAAAAGGTATTTAGGTGCCTAATTTCCAATCTTACTGATCACAACAGGAGTTTAGGCCTTTTTGGATCTGGCCCTTAGTGAATTCAATCCTCCTCTAATCTCCTGAGGTTTCAAACAACAGTTCTGACATTATTTTGGAACATCTTTCCATTTGGAAATAGGCTGTGAACTCCAATTGATTTCTTGTTCATTACTGCTAGAAATTAACTTCAGACAATGTCTGGACATGGGTTTGAAAACCCCGTAATTCATTTCAGTCTATTATAAAGATATTAGCATTTGTAAAGCTAAACATATTAGGGGATATCTGAGCCTGAAGGTTCAATTTGGGACCTAATCCAACAGAAATTCGAAGCACGGGTTTCAAACTGGACTTTCCCAGTAACCTATCTCAGGTATTGGCAAGCTATGGAACCGCTGGATCTGTCGATACGGTGCTTCAGGGGCACTCAGCAGTGGGGGTTCAGCTGCTGGCATGCTCCCCATGCTGCCAGGGGACAAGTGGCAGCAGTGGCTGAGTCGTGGCTTCTGCCCACCTGCCTCTGCCTTGGGATGGGTAACTCCAGCCTGCAGCTGGCACCCTGCCCTATTTATCCTCCTCAATTATTTTTGTTTGATGTATTGGAGGACACCAAAATGGAAACAAAGAAATTATGCAAAGGAACTTTCATTTTAAATCATTAAAGTATTGTTTACCTGGAAGGGGGCCAAAATAAAACTTGTGCATCCATATTTGTGGAGACAAGAGGATACCAAGAGTACCAGCAATAACAAAACACACACACACCAAGGTATTGCTAAAACTACCCAATTTTCATTCTCTCTTATCTAAATAACTCAAAAGATCCATCATTTTAGCAGCAGCCCCTGGCCATCTTCTAAAGCACTTTCCTGTTTTTCTCTCTGTTTGGAGATTGATTTGTCACTTTCTGTGATGGGATCTAGTGCTGCTCAGGTGCCCAGATAGCTAAGAAAACTCAGGGCACCAGCCTTTGGAGCTAGGAGTCCACAAACAGAGCTCAGAAGCTTACTGGGGACTGGCTGCACTGAAACCCATCCTGAGGCCATGAAAAGGAGGAGGAAATCAATTGCTTGGGCTGCTGAGACTGAATCCACTACCAACTAAGAGCAGCAAATTCTGGTGTGAGTGGAAAAAATCTTGTTCTGTTTGTTTTCCCTCACGGGACAAAAATGGTGGATTTCTGGTTTGTTTATTTTGGAGGAAGATTAATTCAAAAGTCATTCAAGCCTTTGCTTTTGTTTGCTCTTCAGGGTATGAGAGAGTTTATTTTTTTGCTAGCTGTGTCCGCCTCAGGGTTCTCATCATTTTTACAAGGCAGGTTCTCAAGGCTGTGGGTTTTTTTCCAGCCTGGGAAAGCTTTTGATGCTTCTCTTAGCAACAAGTCCAGGAACTCAGGCTGTGTTGAATGGTAGAAAGCTAATGAACTGTTGGTATTTTCCAAATTGAGCAGAGATCATATAGGGAGGGAGGAAAGGAAATGGCGCATAAGAGCAGGAAGTTTGGGAAGACAGTCAGGACGATTCTGTGCCAGAGATGAGGACTCCAAGTGCAATTTCAGGTGGTGTTCCTTGGTAGTGAGGAACAATTAAATGATAGACTTGGGATATTCCCAAATCATTAGGGACACAGAAGGAGTCCCAACTTTCAGACACTCTGAAGTGAGTGCTACATGAGGGTGTCATCTGAGATACTTCATACTAGTTTCTTCCTTTTGGTTAAACCTGATACATGCCTTGTATTTTTAAAAAAGTTTTTTTAGCAGTAGAAGATTTAATGCGATGCATAAATAAAGTGATAAATATGATGGATATTATATTTCATAAATTTGGTCCATACTCTAGCTATGAAGCTGTTTCAAGGAAAGTCTCCTACAGGCATTTTATCTTGATAGAGTTCTATGACAGACATAGTCATAGCTAGCTGAAATTTACCTCTTATTGATGGAGGTCGGATAATGCCTCTATTGCTGAGATGCCCTTTGGTAGCAGGGAAATGCAGGTTAGGAATAGCTGCATAGGCCTGAGGCGCATAGAAGACTGGAGCTCCAAGGTAAGCTGTGGCAGGGTCATATACATGTCCAAATGTGTATGTGTATTCTCCTTGCAACATGGTACCTCTTCCCCCTGTGCCTCTGGTATACCTAATGTAACTGTCTTTGTCTACTGGCTTGGCTAACGACACTTCGATAGGAGACCCATCCAACACCTTTAAACAAAGAGGGATACTTTAAAAAACGCAGTAGAAACATACACAGCACAATATACCAGATTACTGGAGATAATTCTACACAAAAGCATTCATATTCTATGTTTTGCTAACACAGATGACAAGATAGGGGTGGCCAGAAAAGAAAAAGAGCCTTCGGGAATGAAGCCAAATCTCTGCGGTAGCAGAAAGGAAGAGAAACAGTGTGTAGGTTTCTGCAGCAGAGATCTGGAGCATTGATACTTTTAAGGCCAGAATCAACCACTCTATGTACCCAGACGGATGGCATGCAGGGGCTGCGAGACCTATACTTGCTGGTGTTGGAAAATTTGAGATAACACTCTTTTTTTCCCTCTAGAATGCTGTAAAGTCAGGAGAATTTATATAAAATCAGTATTGTTCACCCTTCACCTACTTATTTTAAACCTACAGTGTTAGGGTTAAACTTCAGGTAAAACCCGTTTTTCCACTACCTAATCCAAATGATAAAATAACAACAACAAGCACACAAATTGGAGTCCAGGTCTCATTGTGAGACTAATGGTAAGTACCACATCTTCAAGGCTAATGCCAAAATGGAATAAGTCATGCAAAATCTGTATCACTGGGCTTGGTAGAATTTATCAATGAAATACAGTGCATCATCTCTCCAAGAAAAGATAACTGTTTTATCCAAATTCCTAAGGATGAATGGTATAGTGTTATGGTGAGGTGCCTCTATTCATATAGAGTTTGGCTGTATAAAATATTTGCAAATAAGTCCTAAAAGCAAATAATCTTGTTGAAATGAGAAAGTTACAAACAACTTTTTAATAGAAAGTAGGGATAGTTTCACTAGATTTATTAGCTATTAATAACCTGATCAATGTTGCTAATTACTACGCTACTAATCATAAACCTAGCCAGTGACCTCTACACAAATGTTACCTTTCCATTTAAGGCTTTCATAGCTTCAATAGCATCTTCTCTGTTATTAAAGTGCACAAATGCATAATCTCTGATTTTCTTTACTCTTTCAACTGCACCTACGGAAAAAGTTGGAATATCAGTTATGCAATTGCCTTTTCAAAGGAATTCAGATTCAAATTAACTTTCTGGATTATGCTTTTAGCATTTAGTTTTACAAACCAAATCCTGATAACATAGATATTTATGTAACACATATGAGTTTCTCTTTACTTTAATAACGATTTATGTGTAAAGCTGTGTTTGTGCTTAAATAAAGTAAAATCAGGATAAAATGTATGATTACTGTACATGCCATGCTGCATTTCTTAAACTTTTGTTTGATTACCAACTCATAGTATTACGCATCTTGATTAATACATCTGAATGGGCATTCTGGAGACCTAGTATTATCCAGTTACATTTTTTTATACTTTCAATTAATGTTACAGGGTTGTTTGTTTTTTTACTTAGTTTTTATATATGATTTCATATATGGTTACAGATGCATATGAAGAGTTCAACAATATTATGGTTACAGATGCTATATATATGATTATAGCTACAAGAACAATCTTGCACTGCTGTTCTCAGATATGAAAAAAAAATTATCTACATCAAACTGTCAGAGTCAGGATTGAGGAGGAAAGCATATGAAGTCATCAGAACAAGAACAACAACTTTTAGAGACTATGATAGAGCCATGACCTTGGTTTCTGAGTGGTCTTGTATTCCAGAATTTCAGAACTATATACGTGTAAAATACAATTTTTGATTGTAACTTAAAAAAAAAAAGGTTCAAGTTCAACTTGGAAGAGTTTAAGTTTTATATCTGTTAGTCTTCACTGTGAAGGGTGAGTGCTACTGTCAGTTGGTTACGTTACTTTAGTCTCAGAGTCAACAGAACACTCATATTCAGTTTGCTTAAAAATCCCTTGGGGTTGTATGTTTGCACAATGGATTCAGAGTGCTTCAAGCAACATCTGATTCACATCCACTTTGGCTTTATTTACTTCTTGCAGATTGTCTGGACTTTTACATCCGTGTTGCCTTAGCACTCCAGCAGTCTTAAAAGCACTAGTTTCCTTTTATGCACATTTGATTTTGCCTATGACGAGTCAGTGCTTTTTTTGCTTTGTCTCTCACCAGTGGCTATGTAAGCCATGAGGTGTGCATCAGGACCTGCATCCAAGTAGTTTATAGTTGATAATGCATAAGAATACGCACAAATTGATAGTGAAAAATGTAGGATTTTTGTGATAAATATAGAAAGCCTTGTTGAGTCTGCTGTAAGGTGCACTAAGGAAAAAAACTAATTGGCACGACTGCCTATGAGGTTGTCTCAAGAAAATTACAACTTTCTTGAGAGAACCTCCATTGTGATTCTGTCCCAGAACAAAGCAGGATGGGTCTATAAAGTATATGTAACAGGCATAAACATGTGGTGGGAATGGGAGCTAAAAGACGATGCACAGAAGGAAAGATGCTAGGGGGGCATACAAGCACTACCAGTACTGATGAGGATCTGGTCCCTATTGTACCATGTTGTGTTGCCAACAGCATACAGCAAAACTGGAGAAAGGTATTAGAGTTCCCAAATGTGTGCTGAGTTCTGCTTTCCTCCTTAAAGTGTGTGTGCATGTGCGTGTGTGTGCGGGTGTGCATGTGTATTCACATGAATGTTCATTCCCTCCCTTCAGTTGGGAAGGAACATTTCTCCCACTTCTGCCCATCTGATTCATCTGCTGCCATAGGAAACCCGTCTTCTGAAGGCTTGTGGTCAATCTCTACTTTTAGGATTTTGGATACTATAACAGGCTGTCCAACTGGTGGCTCACATGAAGATCCTGAGGGGTTAGCCTGTGACCCTTGAGCATGGGCGACTGGTGCCTCCCGAATCTGGGGATGCACCAGAACACCGACAAGGGGGGAGGATACCCCGGAGGCTGATCACTGATTGCGGGGAGGCAGCAGCTAATTGCCGAGCCCAGGAGCACCAGCGGCGAAACTGGTGAAACCAGAAATGCACTTCTGCTGCCACTTCTGGTTTCATGGCTGGCGCTTCCAGGGGGTGTCTGGCCAATCTCAGGGGTTCACATGCACCTGCATGCACCCCCAACACATTGCCTGTGCCCTTGAGATTCTGGTCTGTGTGCTGCTAGAGTCTCTGCATTCCCCCTTCCTTCTCCAGTTTCCTGCCCCTGCCTCAGGGGGTCGGGCAGGGCAGGATGGCACAGACCATGAGGCTGAGGGAAGCCCACAGCTATGCTGCTCAGGGGGATCTGAAGGGGATGTGGAGACGCTAAATGGCATGGTATGGTGTGGGGGAAACTGTCATGGTACAGTGGGAGGATGTTGGCTATGTGGTACAGCCGAGGCACCTGCCATGCAGCACAACATGGTGGGCAGCCCAGGAGGTATGTGGCCCATCCAGCATGTGGCTAGGGAGCCTGCAGCCCCTGGCCACTCCGAACTTGGACTGGCCTGCACTACAAGAAAACAGTGTAAAAAACCTCTTTGCTGCAATATTTCAGTCTGAAACCATGGTAAAAAAATAGTTTTAGGGCCACTTGCCAGCCAATTTCTGTGAACTCAGTATGTTTTTTCCCCCTCCCAAAGGCCCTCTGCTTTTGGAAGGGCTCTATCTACCTTTAATGATACAATTATTATTTGAGGTCTCATTACACAGTGGTATATTTAGGAACCATGCCAGAAAAAGCATACAGAGCTTATTTTTCTTTGGTTTGTGGATACATGAAGTCAAGTAATTACTAGCTTAGTGCTAAATACCAAAAATAATGTTGTATAAATGACTTATCACCATTTTTGAAAATTGGGGCTATTATATTTCATTGCAATGCTTTGGATAAATGCCTTCTAAAATTAGTATAATAAAAATTTTTGTCAAAATTGGGTATCACCAGTTAATGAATCTTTGAAGATTTCTGGGCAAGGAAAAACAAGGCCTCTACATTTCTCAGTGAAGATGTTTATGATTTTACTTGAGATTCAGATGTGAGATCATGATCTACTTGTAGATTAATAAGTTAGTTTATTTATTTATCGATCTACTTGTAGCTTAATAAGTTCATAAATTTTTTCCAGCATGAAGCCTTTTCCTACACCATCCATGAGTAAGTTGTTAAACTTGTTTTTAAAAAACGGGACCTGTGTATCTTCAAGAATTTATGTATCAGGAATTAGGCTAATTTTTTTGGTCTTTTAGTTATAATTTGCCCAAAAAGTCAATAATTGTTATTTTCTCCTATGGCTACCATTTCTTCCAATAGCCTCATTTGATATTGTTTCTTCTTTCTATTCTTTTTTTATAGTCTATATATATCTATCCCATATATCTACATATGGGATTTAGTTTACAGGATTTCAAGCCTTTTTTGTATGTGAATTCTACAGTGTAGCACACCACTGAATTGAATAAAATTTAAATATGTGTTTAAAATGCAAATAGAAGTTTTGTGATTCTTTGGCATACAGGTTTTATAGTAAGTGTTATTAGAAAGAATCACTTTTGAAAATCAAAGAGTTCCTATGGGCAGCTGGGGAGAGAACCACTGTGTTTAAAATTATACTTTTCCATAGAAGAAGAATACAGAAAACAAGTATCAGTCTTATTAGTATATTCTTATTCCTTTTGTAACTAAAACTATACAATGCCTAAAACATGCATAAAAAGGCCAAACTAAAAATATCTTTGCAAAAATAAGTCGTGTAGAACTTATATGCAATATATCTCATACTAAAAATCATTTTTACTAAAATAGAATACTTTCTAGGCATTGTTTTGAATTGCAACTGGATGGTTTGATTTACTACCTTGCTTTAAAAAGGTTAATAATCATGTCAGTTAAAAAAAATAACAGTTTATTAATGATCTGATCTCAGCAGGGCATGTCTAAGACCTTTATTGGGTAAACATTGTTTCAACATTTCCAGACCTTATTTTTATTCATGTTTCACAAATTAAGAAATATTTTGATGAAATGGACCAACCACATTAAGTTTAAGATAACTGTAAAGGCCTTCCAGTTTAATGTATTTAAAACCTTAATAGCTGAAAATCTGCTTTATGGCATTTCTTACCTGGTTTAATATTGCTGAATTCTTTTTCAATTGTCTCTTCTGTAGTTGATAGCATCAGGTTTCGCACATAAAGGATTTTAACTGATGACATTGTGTCTTCATCAACTTCAACTTCTGGTTCAGCCCAGTCTACAGCAATATTATGTCCCCATAATTGTATCCTTCCTGTAAGAGGGAAATAATAAAAAACCCCCCTGAAATTACCAGCGTTCACTTCAAGCCATGTGGTATGTTGTAGCATTTATATTGTGGTATTGCAAGTAGTAGAATGCATTCATTATACATAAGGATCTAACACTTTTCAAACTCACAGCAGTAGTATAAGGAACATCTGTATCCAGAAATGAATAGACAGATTGTTCAGACTTTATCACCACAACCTAGAAATTCTGTATTTGTGTGACGTCCAACAGTGAAGGGGAGAAAACATGGTACAGCCCATTGTGCATTTATTCAGTGAAGTACTTTATAAAGACGGTTCTTCCAGTGAACCCACTTCTAATTCTGAAAATCCCTGTTGTTTGCAAAATGTTGCCTTGTACTTCTGACTGGAAAAGGCTCCAGGGACCATAATGTGACAGGTGCTGTGGTACAATAAATGTAAATAAGATGTATGTTTTAGATTTGTGTACAGTTGTTTGGCTTCCAAAGCACAGTTACAAGAGGCAAAATGATTGTCAATAATTTAATATAAGTAGACCCTTATGTGGAGGAAACAATTATACTGGTTTCAATATGTATTAGATCAGGTGTCTATAAAGGTAAACAAAGAGTTAAATAAAAACAAAGCTAAAAATCAGTGCAATGGTTGCATTATGAATCTTATGTCTATGGTAATAATTAAAATGTGTTTAATTAATCTGTTATTTTAAATATAGCCAGAGCTGGGGCAGCTGGCAGCTCTGCAGGCAAAGGTGAGGGTGAAGTAGCATGGTGCAGCTCTGGGATTACTATTCAGGCAGCTGAGGGAACTAAAGGAGATGATAGTTAACACCTGTGAAGTAAATAACAGTGGGACATTAACAGGCCATAAACTTCATTAACTGCCTGGATAGTAATATATATCAGAGCTGTACTACACAGGGGAAGGGGGGAGCCTACTTATTGGTGGCAGCAGCAAGAGTGTGGATGCTTGTTTTAGTTTTCACCAGTCATGACCTGACCCTTGTAGGTGTGTGCCAGGGTATGCAAACATATGCCAGGGTGTGCAAGTGTGTGGCAGGGTATGCTGGGATGGTTTAGTTTTTTTTTTACTGGCCATGAAACTTGGAAGCAAACAAAATGTTGCAAGTACCTAAGAAGAGGATGTCAGGGGCAAAGAAGAGGAAATGAAAAGCTCAATTAATCATTGTAATGAAAAAAGATGCAGACATGATGAAAAAAATACTTGAAATCTGTTAATGACAACCCACACAGTATTAGTGAGATGGTCACAGTTGAGACAAAATTTGAGATCTGCTATTGACCAATGGTCCACCAAAAGTAAGGACATGGGTTTTCCTCTGAATGAGCAGAATCACCATTTTTCTATGATGTTTTTATACAGAAATCTTGAAAAAAGTGAAGTTCTGAAGCCGTGCTGTCTGCTTTACTTGGAGTCCACTGATGAGATTTTCTGTTTCTGCTGCAGCCCTTTGACTTGAATCCAAAATCATTCTTAGCATTTGAGGGGTTGAGTGATTGGAAGACTTCTCAGATTCTCGTGCATCATGAGAAGTTGCCCAGTCATTTCAATTCCTCACAAACATGCGTCAAAGCAGAGCAAAGGATAAAACAGGATAATTGCATTGACCTGAAGCTTCAATGTGTGATCAAACAAGAGACAAAACACTGGGAGAACATTCTAGAGAGGCTCATGATAATAATACTGTATCTTTCTAAACATAGCAAGGCTTTCTGAAGCTCATCTGACAGGTTCTTCACAACAAACAATGGGAACTTCTTGGGTTTGGTGGAGTTACTAGGAAAGTCCAATGAAATAATGAAGGAACATTTGTGATACATACTGTCCAGGAAGGTGACAGATCACTGCTGTGGAAAAACAATCCAAAATGAGATAACTGAATTATTAGCAAAGAAAGTGCAGCAAGATATTCTTAAAAGGTAGAGGAGTGCCAAACACTACTCCATGATATTGGACTGCACTCCAGATGTAAGGCATTCTGGAAAGATAACTTTCACTGTTAGGTTACTTGACACTTTGAATGGCAAACTGACCATTCAGGAGCACTTTATTGGTTTTAAAACAATGATGAATCCACAGGGGAAGGACTAACTGATACTATACTTACTAATCTGAAGGAATGTGATATAAATATATGTGACTGCTGGGGTCAGGGTTATGACAATGGTACAAATATGAAGGGGGAAAAATAAGGGTGTACAGGCAAGAATCCTTCATCAAAACCCAAGATCATTTTTTGTTCCATGTGAACGCCATTTGCTTAGTCTCATCATATGGAGGTGGATGCTGCAACTTCTTCAGCAGAGTCTAAGTCCCTCTTCAGCATTCTGCAAAGGATCTACATTCTGTTGCCTGCCTCTGTTTATTGTTGGAAAATTATCACAGATCGTGTCAATGTTACTGCTAAGTCAGCATGTGAAACATGCGGGGAGTGCAGAATTCAAAGTGTTAAAGTGGTTTGATACCAAACAGCCAAAGTTCAAGATGCTCTCATTTCATTGGCTAAATCAGAGTAAGCAGATGCTGATATCCATCATGAAGCACTCAGCCTAGCATATCAACTCACCAAATTCAAGTTTCTTGTCTCCATTGTGGTGTGGCACAATATCCTTTTTCAAGTCATTGTGGCAAGTTTTTCATGCAAAACGAGAAAAACTTAGACATTGTTGCAGCCACAAACTTGATAAATGGCTGCACCTCTATGAAGTATTATTCCCATCTAGCAAATAGGGAAAGTTGAAGCAGAGGGATTTAGACAAAATCAAAGAGTAAGTTTGTTGGTTAGCCTCAGTCCTTGCTTTTGACATCATTTTACATTTGTATCCCACATGTAAAGTTCAATAGATGTGCTAAAGAGTGTTAGTCCTGAGATCTACTTGTCTCTTATGATATTCATGACACATATTTGAAGATCTAATATAAATTTTCAGTAACACTTTGTAACCTTTGCATGATATTTACATAATGACAACTATTCTTCTTGGCTATGGACAGACATTACACATAAACTCGTTTAAGTGATCAGAAACTGGTTTAAACCTGTAACAGAATAGATGTTCAGCACACATAAACCAGTTTGAAAATGTCTGAAATAGGTTTGAGATAAACCTGTGTGAATGTAGTATCAGACTTAACTGGTTTGGCTCAAACTGGTTTATGCAATGTCTGTCCTAGACCCCTTCCTGGCTTAAGTTAAACCAGAGTCCCCCAGCATTCCAGCAGGGCTCTCTGCTCCACAGCAGGGCTGGCTCCTCCCCTCTACTCCTTGGCTACAGCTCTGGCAGAGACTGCAGGTGTTTGCCTGGCTTCCCCCTTCTCCTGCCCTCCCCTTGTGACTTCCTGCTAAGCAGGGAATCTCCATCCGCTTTGCTTTACAAAGACACTGCTCCACATTAGCTAGAAGACCACATGCTGGCTACAGTCCATGCCATAGCAGACGGGACAAAGGCAGAATCAACAGGTAGCTGGTAATGTCCTATTGTTGTTTTCTTAATGGGGTGATAAACACTGTGTTATCAGTTCCCTACTGGGCTGGTCAGAAGTGGGGGGAAATATTTCCCTAATCAGAGCATCCTGCTGGGGCCTGGCCATGCCCCCCTCAGCTCAGCACTGTTGAAGTGAAGGGAGGGCTGCTCTAGTGCCCCCTGACTTCTAGCCTGAGCCACTGCAGGCATGTGTCTGCATGTCTGTGATGTCTGTGCAGTTACAAACAGATTCAGCCTAGCCAGGTGAGACTAACCTACAAAGATTGAATCAATTCACACTCAGACTTTTTGAACATCTGTCCCTAGCCCTCATGGACAGTCCTCTACCCTTACACTCTGACAATCAAGTTGAATTTGTTTTACAAAAATGTTTATAAAAGTGCAAAGCAAATCTACAAATAGAAGATGGCACAGACATTGGTGTAGTGCATAGACGTTAGCAGTAGAAAGTCCAGTAGTCACAATTTCCCCTTCTTTCAAGAAGCCTCACTCATGAGTGGTGTGGTAGTGCTGGGAACTGTCAGACCATAGCAACACCCCTGTAAATAAGGTTCCTGAAAAGATGAATGGATTATAAATTCCTCTTGTAATGATTGCCACTATCAGAAATTGCTTTGGGATAAAAAAGGAAAGGGCCACATTGTGGTGGCCCTGTACAAGCACACAACAGTAGACAGTTCCCAGCTATGAAGAATTTATGATCCAAGTAGACAGGACAGACACAGCATAGATGCAACAGGTTTAGAATACAGGCATACCTCGGAGATATTGCGGGTTCAGTTCCAGACCACTGCAATAAAGCAAGTATTGCAATAAAGCGAGTCACACGAATTTTTTGTTTCCCAGTGCATATAAAAGTTATGTTTACACTATACTGTAGTCTGTTAAGTGTGCAATAGCATTATGTCTAAAAAAAAATGTACATACTTTAATTAAAAAATACTTTATTGCTAAAAAATGCTAACCATCATCTGAGCCTTCAGCGAGTCGTAATCTTTTTGCTGGTGGAGGGTCTTGCCTCAATTTGTAAAAAATGCAGTATCTGCGAAGCGCAATAAAGCGAAGCGCAATAAAACGAGGTATGCCTGTACTAACATAATTAATAGCATTACAAAGGCAAATGTCATACAAAGTTTTGCATTTCAGAGTGATTTGGATTAAATAGTGATTTTAAGTTGTGGCGGGATTGGTATCTGTTGGAGAAGGAAACAAAGAGCTTATACAATATAGGAATGATGTTGTAGCTGTGATGGTCCAGGAAATATGCAAGAGGGAAGGATATTTTGGGGGGTGATTTCTTCTATTGGGCCAACGGCATGGTTGGGGGAGATTTTAGAGAAGGTTTTGGGCAGAAAGGTCCTTTAGGTCATTTGTGGAATACAGGCATCTGTGAGGTACTTCATGTAATGGTGGTAAGAAAAGCATGAGACTTCCTTTAACTTCGGATTTTAGTATTTAAGGCTTGGGTGAGTGAAATGTATGTCACCTTCACTGCCAAGAAATGCAGTTTTAGTGTCCATTCCCTAACTTTTTTTCTAGAGAACTGGTGTGCCCTAGCAAACTTCTAAATTTGGGAAGGAGTGAAGGGAACCAGACTCAGAGTGGAGAACTACATTATCAAAGCCAGACTGTATTTAACCCTCTGTCAAGCATAAAAAGCTGTTATTTCCTTGTAATGGGGCCTCTACCCCATTACAAGAGAGGGAAAGGGTCTAGGGATGCCTGGGCCTCTCTCTCACTATCAGTTTGTCGCTTTTCTTTGTTGTTTTCTTTTTTATCTTTCTCTCCCCCTCTCTCTCCCACTTTTTCTTCCATTTTACTTGCTCTTCCTTTGGGTAGCTGGAACCAAACTAACAGGCAGGGAAGCCTGAGACAAAATGACTGTGAGCCCCAGTGCAGGCAGTGCCTGATGGCCCAGGGGTAGAAGTGGAGGGCCAGATGACTCGCAAGAGACTGTCTAGGCCCAAGCCTCAGGCCAGAGAGGCAGACTGGCTATAGGAGCCACAGGGAGCCAGTCTCTGGATGGAAGATTCCAAGGCTGAACCAAGTCTAGGAAGGAAGGACTCAGAAGGACAGCCAGGGTCAGTGGTGATGTGTAGGGGTTGCACGGAGGTACACGTGCACCCCCTGAGAGTGCTGGTGCACCCCCTGACAGCTAGCATTCCCCACTTAGGTGGGGAAGGCAGGAGCGCTGATGCCCCCCCCTGAGAGCCCTGGCTGGGGAGTGGGGGCACCAGGAGAAGTGCCACTGGCACTTCTGGGTGCACCCCGGCCCTTCCGGGCACACCGCTGGCACTTCTGGGTCAGCACGATCGGCCATGGGGAGATCCTCCCCCCCCAGTCATTGCTAGGAAGCACCAGTTGCCCATGGCCAGGGTGAAAGGAACCTAAGAACCCTTGTAACAACTGCTGCTGGACTTGAAGCAGGGCTAAAGATCTCTGCAAAGGCAGAGTGGGAAAGTTTTCAGCCACAGCTGTTTTGCAAAAGCATATGCATATCACAGCCAGGCTCAGAGAGGGGTCTGGAGGAGAGGGGCCCCAGGAAAGAGTTGTACGGGAGACTTGCCTAGAAGGGCAGGATGTCAGTTTGGGAAGGCTCTGGAGACAGAGTTAACTGAGAAAACAGCATAGGGCTGGATGGATAATAAACCAAGTGTTGTTTCAGTTATCAGCACAAGGGGCTGTGTCTGAGAATTGGAGAAAGATGTTTTTGGGGAGGGGGGGGGACAGTGTGTGTTTCTTTTGCAGGTACAGCAAACAGCTGGACCAGAGGAAAGCTCCTCTGCAGGCTTTAACAGAGAAAGGCACCTTCTCTCTGTAGCAAGGGGTGCTGCACCATCCAATGTTATTGTGTTGCTAATGTTAAGGAGAGCTGATGTTTTGTTAACCCTCTGTGCTCCTGGTGAAATTCACTTGAGTCTCAAGGTTCAAACTGGGGAGTTGTACTGAGGATGTTTTTAATTCAATTGGTATAAAGTGTTCTTAGTTCATTGATACCCTGGCTTTGACAATTAGATTATTGATATCCTGTTTTGATATTAACCTCATTCATATGTTGAATGTTTTGTAATAAACTGTGTAAATAGTTAGACTGTATGTACTCCAGTGTGTGGGGAAACCACAACAAAGCACTCCATGGAGAGATGACTCCAGGCTTAGGGGCTGGGAGGTTGACTGAAACTATTTTGACACCCCAAGACCCTGAATCTGGATGTGGCCACAGGTAGCACTGTGGCTAGGGTTACACTTTATTGGGTGTGAGATAAGTACTCTGAGTCTTTTTCTGTTTTGCTTTGCAATCACTGCTGCAGGGTGAGGCTAACCTAGGAGGGGCGATTGTTTGAGCCAGGGCAGGCACCCATGTTTTGTGCTTTTTTGTTTTTTCCAGTGCAATGAATTGTGGCTGTAGAGGAGGCAGAGGCCACTGAAAGGGATGCCTGGGGACACTCCGGATCACACACTTGATGTTAAGGGCTAGAGACAGAAGTTGCATATAAACCAGTTTAAGTGGTTAGAAACTGGTTTAAGTCTGTAACAGAACAGAAGTTTGGTGCACAAAAACCAGTTTCAAAATGGCTGAAACTGGTTTAAGATAAACCTGTTTGTATGTGGTATCAGACTTAACTGATTTGGGTCAAACCTGTTTATGAAACTTCTGTCCCAGACCCCTTCCTGGTTCAAGTTAAATCACAGTCCCCCAGCATCCCAGCATGCTTTGCAGCCCTGGGCTGTGCTGTGCTGTCTGTTCCAGAGAGCAGGTCTGGCCCTGTCCCTCTGCTCCCTAGCTCGAGCAGTGAGGGCTGGCTGATGGGAGTGTTGGGGGGAGGAGGAAGGCAAGCCTGGCTGGGGATGCAGCCCAATCTACAAGGGGGGGCCTTCCCCCTCCCCAGGCAAACCCCAGCTGGGGTCTGGGACCAGGAAGGGGGGGGCGTTAAACAGCCCTTTCCCCAGTCAAACTTACTGCTGGCTGCAACTGTGGACTACACATCCCAGAGGCACCTGGAAGCAGGAAGAAGTGATGAGCAATCCTGGAAAGTCCTGCTGCTTTATTCCTGGACTGCAAATCCCAGAGACCTCAGGGGCAGCAGGAAGAGGAAGTGAACACAGAGAACTGTGCTCTAGCACCCCCTAGCTTTTGGTCTGAACCACTGCAGGCATGTGACTGCATTTCCTGAGTAAAAGGTAAATGTCTGTTCACTTTTGTTTCAATTTAATCTCTGCATCTTAGACTAATCTGCAAAGACTGAATCAATTCAGCCTTGGTCTTTTTGACTGTCTGTACCTAGCCAAGAGGACAGAAGATAGAAACTGGTAATAAGGACTGAGCCTCTGAAGGGCAAATCCTGCCACAGCCTGAGAGGCAGGGTTGGAATAACCGATGGGACCTGCGGCCCTGGGGCCTGTGTAAGGGCCTCACAGGCCCTAGAACTTGAAATCATGAATGTGAGAGTCAAGTTGAGCCAGAAGCTTGTGGCCCCAGGTGGTTGGTTCCAAGCTACAGGGTGCAACCAGAGTAAAAGTGGGACGAGGCCAGAAGAGCCATGACAGGGGACCACTGCCCAAAGCTTTCTTCACCTTTAGGGCAGCCTCTCTGTCAATTTGTTATGTCAAGGCATGGTAGGTAAGAATACAAAGGGGATGGGGAGAGACCCCGAGGAAATGAGGGACGCTAGCAGGGAGAGGCCTCTAAAAGTGGTTGCACCCTGCTGACACCAGTAGTTACATTGTAGTCCCTCATGAATTGTGTCCCTTTGACAATATGACATTGTTACTACTAAATTAGAAAATGATAATAGGTTCTCTAGTGTATTCTTGGACAGAAATCATACAGCAGAATTGAAACCCATACATTCAAATTAAAATAGTAGAGCTAAGAATTAGGTTTAAAACCTTTGAAAGATGAGAATTAAGGAAAGTGATTGGTGAAAAAATGTGGGCCTGGGCTATCCTGTCAGCCTACTGAGGCTTCTATTTTAGAACAAGGGGAGCTTCATGGATGCAGCTGGGTGCAGCCAGGTTCCTAGAATTTAAAACAATGCTAAAACATGTAAGTAGAAATGCTTGTGCTGGTATGCCAAATGTAATGAAAATTAAGTTTGCTTTGATTTATTTAATACTAAATTGTGTAGTGAAGTGTTCCAGCAAAGCAGCCATGAACCCTTTTCTGTGTACAAACCTGGTAGCAGTTTTCTTCTTGCCATTGCTGCTGCTCGATGACTTTCATATTCCACAAAAGCAAAGCCCCGGTTTTTTGTCTTGTCTGCTGCACTGGGATACACAATGACATCAACAACTCCATCTGTGACTTTCCTCATCTCTGCTAAAATTTCTTCTCTTTTCTTAGTTTTTGGGATTCCTCCTACAAATAAACGGCAGTTGTCTACACTGGCACAAACACCTAGGAGTCGTCCATTCCTGCACACAAACAACAGTTTCAGTTCATGATAAAGCAGACTCATTTCTTTGTGCAATCACAAAATAATTTCTCTAGACACAGAAGATTCAAATTATGAATTCATTTTGAACACAATAGCTTGAAGGGGAAGCTAGTGGTAAAACAGTGCAAACTGTTTTGAGACTATATTGTTTTAAAAGTTTTAAGATTTGGGAGAAATAAGCTACAAACTTTACTACATACTTCTATGTTTTTTTTATTTTCTCAGGCTGCCACTGAGAACTCATATTAACACATAATTTTACTTCTGATGAACTCAAGTAGGAAGACTTGCAGACCAAGAGGCTGACTGTGATGTCACAAGTTGCTGTCATACTGCTAAACAAGATTTATTTCTTCTATTGGAGTCAGAAGCAGACTGGCCAAGTTCACTGATGATACCAAACTCTGGGGTAAAGCATCCACACTTGAGGACAGGAGGGTGATCCAGGTTGACCTTGACAGGCTCAGCAAATGGGTGGATGAGAACATGATGGTGTTTAACACTGAAAAATGCAAGTTTCTCCACCTTGGGAAGAAAAACCTGCAGCATCCTTATAGGCTGGGCAGTGCTACGCTGGCTAGCATTACGGATGAAAGGGACTTGGAGGTCATGATTGACCACAAGATGAACATGAGCCTTCAATGCGATGCTGCGGCTAGTAAAGCGAGCAAAACGTTGGCTTGCATGCATAGATGCTTCTCAAGCAAATCCCAGGAAGTCATTCTCCCATTGCACTAAGTTTTGGTGAGGCCACAGCTCGAGTACTGTGTCCAGTTTTGGGCTCTACAATTCAAAAAGGATATGGAGAAGCTTGAGAGAGTCCAGAGAAGGGCCATGCACATGATGAGAGGTCAGGATAAGGCTGGACATAGCTCTCAGCCTTATGAAGACAGGCTGAGAGCTATGGGACTCTTCAACCTGGAAAAGCACAGGCTCAGGGGCGATCTGATGGCCACCTATAAGTTTATTGGGGTGTACACCAGGATCTGGGGGAACAATTCGTCACCAGAGCCCCCCAGGGGACGACAAGGTTGAACAGTTATAAACTACTGCAAGACCGTTTTAGGCTGTACATAAGGAAGAATGTCTTTACTGTCCAAGCCCCCAAGGTCTGGAATAGCCTGCCATCGGAGGTGGTTCAAGCACCTACTCTGAACGCCTTCAAGAAAAAAATGGATATTTATCTTGCTGGGATCCAGCTTATTTGCTGCCCCTTGGGCGGGGGGCTGGACTCGATGATCTTCCGAAGTCCCTTCCAACCCTAATGTCTGTGAAATCTATGAAGAGAAATGTAGTTCAGCCTGGCCCATAAGATAGGACATGGGGTGTTAGAACTTCAGCTCATGTCAGGCACCATGACAACTCAGGCAAAAATAGATTAAAGGGAAACTGACCTGAAATGCTATTTCAGGTTTCTTGTTTAACAAACCAAAAGAGGCTCATTAGCTCATATTTAAAATTTTATTTTCAATTTTTCCAATGGAAAAACTCTTGGCAGAATTTCCTGTAGAAAATTTTGATTTGGGGGACGCTGTAGTTCCTGTTTAGCACGTATAAAGCAAATATCTAAATTTATGTACTAATTAGGTCTTTTCAGCAAGTGGAAAAGTGAGTGACTGTATAAAGGAACAATGAATAGTATTCTTTTTCAGGTTTAGATAATTAGATAAATCTTTTGCAGCTCATAGGAACAAATATACAATGAATAATAATATATTTAATATCAGATTTGTGTAAACTTACTAGTTATGCTTACCTAATTTCATAATTATTAAGTTGCTTGATTGCATTCTTAGCCTCCTGTTTATTAGAGAATGTTACAAAGGCATATCCTCTGTTGTTTCCATTGAAGTCCATCATCATTCTCATTTCATAGATTTTGCCAATCTGTAAATAAAAATGAAAACTGGTAACTTATTCTAAAAGAACACTTTGGTAATAGCACAATGCTGATTATTTCCCTCACTTGGTCTTGTGCATATCATCTCAAAGCTGTTTGGATATTTCCATTTATGATCATCAACCAGGGTCTATTTTACTTTAGGACTGTTTTCTGACCCATGAACAAAGTCAAAATAAATAAAAGGAACATATGTTTAAGTGACAGGCCAGGCTGAGTTATCACTACAGATCTCTTTAGCAAGGTTAATGACCTCTATTAACGCACTCTGATAATGTGTTGCCAGAACTCAACATGTGTCTCAGAAACCTTAAAGTGGATTTGCCACTGTAAGCAATGATTTTCTTGCATTGATCTGACCTTTCTTTTTAAATATTTAATTTGTCTGTGTTAGAAAAGAGAACAGGAGGCTCCAAAGTCTAATAGTATCAGCCTGTTCTCATGTGAAAGAAAAAGGAAACCAAGTCAATATGTGCATGTCATTTGACTAAAATTACTTCTGTGCCACTGTTAGTGGAGTTTTACTCTATTTCCAGATAGAATTGAGGCTGGTAGTAAAGATTATTGAGAAGGCAGGAATACTGTCCGTGAAAACCAAAGAGATTTTGGCAAGGTTTCCACATTTGGAAACTTGATCACCATTAGCAGTAAGGAGGGTACGCTATACCTATGATTCTCAACCAGGGTGCTGTGGCATTCTGGGGTGCCTTGAAATCCTGTCAAGGGTGCCATGGGGTGCCTCACAATGTTAGCATTGTTAGGTGTGTAGCCATGATTTACAAGGTAAATCCAGGCATTTCAGTATGATTTCATAGTGTTAAAAACAACCTGACCTATTGTATTATAAGTTCTTGGCAACAGAAGAATTGCTTTATTGTTTTTCTGAGGTCAAAAAACAAGCGAAAACTCAGGGCTAGCATTTTTGGAGGGGTGACTTGAATCGAAGGAGGAATGCCTTGAATCTGAAAAGGCTGCAAACCTTTGAACTGTACATATCTGTAGTACAGCTATTATATGCTACTTAACTGATATCCAAAGAAGGCTTAACATTTCATGGAAGAGTGGTAGAGAAATCCTGGCTCTATTGAAGTTAGTAGGAGTTTGACCATTGGCTTCCATGGAGCCAGGATTTTCACCCATGTATCACTGCCTCAAAGAGCTCACAACTTTGGAGATAATGTTACAAACACAGGGGTAGACCCAGGATCGGGAGAAGTAGTGGTGCGGTTACATCCCGCTTTGATTCCTTCTCCACCCAAACTTTAAAACCAATTGCCATAGAGAGACAGCAGAATTTCTATTCTGGCAGGGCCAAAGGACTCAGTTTACTTCATGACCCACTAAAATGTATCTGATTCTTGCTAATATTCCTTCACTCCTTTTCTTAATGGTCTTGATGTTCGATTAATTAAGCTATCCTTTCTTCTGCAATTCCGCTTCCTGTTAGCTATTTTTTGTAATATCTCTTCCATTTCACAGCCCTGCTGACTGTTTTTAGTTCTAGCTAAGAAAAATTAACTCAGGTATGGTAATAGTAATTTAGGTGAACATTAACTCAGATGCAGAATTGACTGACGGTGAAGTGTTGGATGCACTGTCAAGATGCTCAAGAAGGCTAGATTTTGTTTATGAATCTGAATAAGAGATGTACATATAACTATACTGATTACAGGGCTAATAAAACAATATCTTTGGACTATTTATGCTTAGTTTGTTGTATTTTTTAAACTTAATATATAAGCTAGAAAATTAGTACACTTTCCAATAAGGTTTTATTTGTTTTTCTTTGATCTTAAACTGAATAATATAGGACTGGGCCCCTAGGATATTAGTAAATCTTCTAGCTTCTCTTTAGTTTGATAAAAATATGTTTTATATGGATTTGATGATATACCATGCCATCTGCATCCCGCTTTTCAAAATCTTAGATCCGCCCATGAACAAACAGCAAGAATGGTGACATTTCAGGGGTGACACAGGGGGCACATGCCCATCCAGATTTCTGTGCTGATAGCAGGATGCTGGGTGAGGGGCAGGGCCTGGTAGCAGCAACAGTGCCAATGTTGGGACATGGGCCACGGGGCTGCAGGCTGGCCAGACCCAGTGCCCAGCAGCCACTGGCAATACTTATGTGACATGTACAACACTTATGTGACATGTATAACAGTGAGGATGACAAAAAGAAGAGGAAGAACAAGAAGATTTACAAGTAGATACTCATTCACTTAGGTTATTCCTCTGAATGTATTTATGGTTTGAGGGTTTCTTTTTTTTTAAACCACTCTCTTCTTGTGTGCACAAAAATATGAGTGAATTTTAATTTATATCCACAATTATTGTGGTTGCATATGCATATCACATAGGGATAGTCATATTTCTGTGATGGTCTTTCAACCTTGGGGCATAGTAAAGGTCCTGCACATCTGTTAAGATCTGGTAGGAGCCAATGCAATAGCACACAGCTCTTCCCAAAGGTAGGGAATAAATGCTATATAGCTCTTTCCCCTTCCACTGTAACCCTGGAGGCAGCAGCCCTGTGTAGGCAGAACTACTAGGAACAGATGTTGCATTTGTTTCTGGACAAGTTGTGCCTGTGTTTGTCCTCAAACAGAAATATCCCAGGACTGGCATGTACACACATTGCCTTTCTAATCAGGGTTTAGTGACCAGCTGAATACACTACAGCTTTTTTGCTATTGATCCAAAGAGCGAATTCCAGGATACTATATTGACTTGTTAGCCATTCCTTTCGGTTAAAATTTTGTTTTAAATTGTTTGTTTCTTCATACGTTGTAAATAAATTGAGCCTTTGCTGAACACAGGGTTTATCTTGAGCACATAGTATAGTACAAAAGAAGAAAAAATTGCTAAATACAAAAGCTTACTTTTTCACATAATGGTATCAGCTCATCTTCAAAAAGGTCTCGCGGTAATTTCCCAATGAAAATCTCACAGCCTCTCTCTGGTGGTGGGCCATCCCAGCCAGGTGGTGGACCACCAAACTTTCTTTGTCCATTTTCCTGCATGAAGAAAAATAATCAGAAATTCTAAAGTGTGTGGGATCGACAGAAGCATGTCACAATTGCCTTTCTTGTTTATACAAGACTCCATAGATCTTATCCATAACTGTCTCTTTCCAACAGCCCCTGCTTATCTAACACTGGCACCCTCCACACAATTCTGATAAAAAAAAAATCTTTTTCTCACCTGAAAGAGCCTCTGTCTATATCTCTGCCTCATTAATGGCTGGATTCAATACCTACTGAAATAGCCAATAATTACTGAAATGTTACCTGTCTTTGTTGATTTGAAGCTAAACCATATAGATAAACTCTAGACAAAAACAGGTTTTAAAATCTGTAGTGTTTATTTAATATTCTCTGTTGTTCAAGGATGGATGGCTGCTAAAAAATAGACCTTTCAGAACCATGAAACACCCTTTACAGAGTCAAAACTTACAATTTAATTGTATTTTATATGCCTCAGAAAACAAGGTTGTTATGATACTGTTCTGAATGGATACTGAAAGCAATAGAAATATTTCCACAGACTGTAGGAGTAACTAAATCAAGCCCTGTCACTTTCATGGTAGGTTCTTGCTGATCAGAGATGAGTTTCACTGAGGGTCATGGGCTACATTAGAGAATAATACAGATGAGTGTCTTGACCTTGGCTATTTTAAGCAACACACTTATTGTTGCAAATGTATGACATGGATAAAAGGAATCGATTGCAAGAAGCTTTTCTACAGCTGAACTCTTCACAGTACAACAGGTATGTATGCCCAAGCAGAGCATAAAGTAGTTTTGGTTCTAGGCAATGTCCTTATCAAAAGTACAAATTTCCACTGTTCTTTATAAAGACCTTTTGGAAGCGGAATGTAAGCTTCTTACTACACTGAATGTAGATAAATTTACTATATTTTCACAAGTTATTTGGAAGAGGAAGGGGTAAATGACTGACATACCTAAAGAGAAAGGGAATTCCAGACATGAGGACTACATTGAAGAAGGAGCTATGAAGCATGTTAAGGGAGGAGTTAGAAGTGAGAGTTGACCAGAATTAAAGGGAACATGAGGCAAACTAAGAATGGATGAGAACAGAATTCTGCTGTCTTGCAGAACAGGCAAAGGATCTTAAATTTGATGCTGAAGGTGAGACAAATCCTGTTAAGGTACATAGGGAGGGAGGTGAAGAAGCTGGTGAAGAAATTTAATTTTTCAGTTGCATTGGAAGCTGAGACAATGGAAATAAAGACACCAGCAATGGCAAGGCTGCAACATTTGAGATGAGACCTGATTGTGACAAGGAAATAAATATAAGGATAGGAAGGAAAAATGTATTTTAAGGTAGATGTAGAGGAAAAATGTGACAGGATTTAGTGATAGCCTAAGGTGGCAGGAGAAAGAAAGATGAGTCTCCCACAGTGTTTCCCAAACTTTTGCTCCTTGGGGTGGGCTTTTTTTCTGGATTAAAATGGACAGACACATCACTCTTACACCAAAAGTCGTGTGTGTGTTTGTGTGTATTTTCAAAACATATAACATTTTCCATTCCCCTGCCAGAGGAAAATCAGTGCTGAGATGTACTGGTAAAAAATAACTATAACTTTTCTGAACATGGCAGCATCCCAGATGAAAATCACTGAGGTAGATCTAAATTCAGAAAAGATATGAAGGACACCTTAAGGCTAAAAAAGTTGAGAATCACTGATTTAGCTGGTGCCACATAAGGGTGTTGGGGCCTGACCTCATCCTGATGTGCCCTCCTCTTTTCACTGTCTGCCCCCTCCCAACCTTTCATCTGTACCTCAGGGGGCAAAGGCAGCCCCTGTTGCTGGGGCTGATACTGCAGGGTCTCACATGCTAATGACTATGCCTGCAGCCCCTTCTGTCAGCTATGGGAGTGTAGAAGGACTGGAAGGAACAAGCTGGGCTGCTTCATAAAGCTCCTTCTGTTGTCTGCCTGCCTTCAGTAGACTGTACTGCTGGAGCATAAGGTGAGGGGGAAGGAGAGGGTAGGATAGGGGCTTCTTGGGAATTGGGAAGGATAGAGGAAGGCAGCAGCAGGAGCCACAGTCCCCAAAAGAGCAGCTGCTTGTACCGCTGGAGTAGCTGGGGCAGGTGCAGAGTGTCAAATGGGGCAGGAGAGCATTTACCTTCTTACACAGTGGGTTCTTGTGGTACACTTCCACCACTCTTGTGGTATACTACTGTGCTGTGAATACCCTTTGAGAATCACTGTTATATCATAACACCAAGCTTTTGAAACTGAAGACTACTGGAATTGTTGTTGTGGTAAGCGAAGGGAAATGGATTGGAGTAAGGATTCCAATGTTTCTCCTGAGTTGCCAGATAGATAGTCAGAACTAAACATTATGTGGGGAAAGTCCCAGACATTTGATAGAATGGATAGGATGAGGACAAGGATGGAAAGATGGATTTCTGATTGATCAGATATAGGGATGATGAGTCAAACCATGAGAAGTTGTCAGAATAGATCAGAGAGGAAGTGAAGAAGAAGGCTGGGAGGAGAGACCTGTGGTCAGTAGCTACCTTTTGCATGTTAATCACAGAAGCAATGTCAATCCCTTGTCTGGATTACTGTGAGTGGGATGAGTGAAAGCATGAGGGGGGGTGGTTTCCTTCATCACAATCCATGTTCACTAGAGGTACACTGATACATCAGTCCCATATCGTATTGGCACGGGAAGTTGGTGAAGATAAGGAAAATTGACATTATTGGCCATCAGCTTTTTTTTTGGCTGATGTGGCCAATAATGTCACCGATAAATGCTCTGTGCATGACCACAGCCACAGCACAGCACAGCACACAGGCAGCCAGGAGTGCAGCCCAGCAATGTGGAGAGCAGTGTCTGACTGGTAAGTCTGTTGTAGGGGAAGGGGAAGGGAAGGGGCATGGGGGGAGCAGACTGAGGTCCCTGCATTGAGGGAGGGAGTGGGGTTGGGGCAGGGGCAGGAACAGGTGCTGCATAGCCAGGGTGGGGCAGAACATGGGATGGAGCCGCAAGCAGCTCATCTGGGGGAAGCGGGGAGGGGGTGGTTCCTGCCCCTACACACACCCCGGGAGGGCGTGGGGGATATGTCCCCCAGATCTGTGCATGGGGTGAATGCAGGCTGCTGTTGCAGTCTGGGGCCAGGGGGAGTGCCAGGCTCATCCTGGTGGGGGGGTTTGGCCATGTCTGTGCTTGGGATGGGTGGTGGTGGTGCTGCAAGGAGGAGCTGGGTGTGGGGGAGGGCTACAGTCAACCCCAAATTTGCCATAGACCCCACTCCCAGCACTGCTGCTGCCTACCCTGAGGGCAGACCCAGCCCAGCCCCCCTGCTGATAAAAGCCCAGCACTGGCTGCAGCCTGCAGCCTGTAGCCTGCAGCAGCAGCCCACCATCACCCCATGCACAGATCTGGGGAGCACACGCCCCCCCTGCCTCCCCCAAAGGTGCATGTCCTCCCCTCCCCGTGCCCTCTGGATGAGTCATGACTCCATCCTGTGCCCTGCCCATCCCTGGCTGGACAATGCCTGCCCCAGGCTCGGCACCACTCCATCCTTCACCGGAGGGGCCTCAATCTGCCCCCCAACCCCTGGCCCCCCGCCTCTTCCCCTTCCCCTCTTGCCCCTTCCCACCAGCAGACTTACCAGCTGGATGCAGCTCTTCAAGTTGCTGGGCCACATACTGGCAACCAGATTGGTATCAGTTGATATGGCTCATTAAAAATCAACCATCGGTATCGGCACAAAAAATCTCTATCGGTGCATCCCTAATGTTCACTATTCCCAGAAACTAGCTAAAGAAGGAGGTGAAAGAAATGATCAATTTTAGATGAGAAGGGGAGATAGAGAAGGAGAGAATCAATGTGAAGGAGAAAAGACCATTAGGGGAGGTAGAATAAGAGAACTTATATTTTTAACAGGGATTCACTAAGGGAAATATTAGGTTGCCAGACACCTGAGGCAGTTACAGATACAATGGCTACTCTTTAGGTAGAAAGTACTTAGGAGATATATATGGAGTTTTCTTTTGGTTCAAATTTCACCCGAGCTCTTGGTTGCTGGTTCTGACTTCTACCCACACCATTTTTTATACAGCATGGGATAATACTTATTTGCCCACATTAGTACTGGTCCAGCTGAGGAAGAAGGAGTCTGGCAACAATAATTTCAGTATTAGTATTCCTCATCTGTAATGATATCTTTTGATTTTGGATCTTTTCCTCCATTCTGGCATTTATGCCTCTTCCTTGTTTTTACATTTCTCCTTCAATGCCTCTTTAGATGTGGACACACAAGGCATTTACACCACTACAACCTGTGTTTGCATTACTGTAAACGTGGAACACCTGTGCACAGCCCTATACTGGTATAAGTCCATCCACTCTGGGGTCCAGTTACTTCTCAGAAAGTCAGGAGTAAACGTACACTAGTATATAGCTGTCCAAATCTCCAGTCAATTTCAGTCAATGCAAACAGGCTACTACTGGTAAAGCACTATAATAGTGCTCATTAGGCCTGTGTGTAGAGGGAAATATTTGATCCAGATTCAGATTCAGCCAATTCAGAGGACAGTGATTCAATTTGGAGATTGCTTTGACCTCAGGCTTTCTGAACGTCTGTACTTAGCCCTGTACTTATAGAAGCTGAGAGGTTAGTCAGTTCACTTTCTGTAATACTCCCAACTAGTTTTGAAATAATTTTTCCTTGTGGAATAATTTCAACCCTAAACTAAAGGGAAACAGACTTACACAACCCATAGCAAAATGAAATTGATTAGGATATTAAAGGAAAGCTGACTAGGAACATAAGTGAAGACAGCCCAAGGGCTCTCCCTCAGCTTGTTATTTATGGATCATCCGTTGAGTATATATAGTAGGACTTATTCATTATTATGTTTCATACTGTAAATATTTCCAGCATAACAGTAGAGTTATAGAAATACTTTCACTCATGGGTGGATTCCCGCAGCACAAGAACTTTGAACATAAAGCTGAAAATTTCCTTCTGCCCCAGAAGAAGGTACAGATGTTTTCTGAAAGATTAATATAGTTAGTACAATACTCTCTTGACACACAAGAAATTGGATGAGACTCCTATTGATCCATTTTTAAAGCTGAACCTTAAGTGCAACTATTCTGTTCAGTTTTGTCATGCTCTTAACTGTGATTATTATGTAACATATCCCTTTTTTATGTAATCTGTAAACCACATTCATGTGTTGCTAACTGAAAGGAATTGAAAAACATGATGAACTGGCCGAATATATATGCCACATATACTCAGCTGAGACCATTTTGAGATTTACTAAAGGATTTGTAAACAATACTAAAAATTTAAACTCTTTCTTTGGCAAAGTTAAAGTGTATGGGGGATGACCCATCAGGAAATAAAAACCTGTTTCAACCAGACAGGTCTTCCCCTTACGATTTGGAAAAATTAAATTACCCAGGTTCTTGCTTTCCACAGATTGGTTGGATGGGTTTAAAAATTGTCTTTATGTGCTATTTGCCAGGTAAGTGAGCATGGGATAAACCAAGAGATTACAAGTTTGGATAGTGTGAGGATGTTTGGAATAAAAAAAAAAACAGCTTACTGGTAGATGGGAAGGGATGAAAGGAGACACGTGGTAATTTAAGAAAAGGGAAAAGAGTGAAGGGAGAAAGTGGAACAACACAGAAGAAGTAGAGATGAAGTAACTGAAAACAGAGGGAAATCAGATACAGAAAAATACTGGTAAAGGTAGGAAAGAAAAGAAAATAAAGAAATATATATACAGATGAGGTATTATTTTTAATCACATTTAGCATTGAGTGGATGACAGATGATTTAGGTTTCATAAATGCAAATGTTTGCTTATGCAAGCACACAGATTTATATGTTATAAAAACACACATTTTGCTATGTTAATTATATATGGTATAGTTTTGGTAGTTCTGGGTTTCTTTTAATCTTAATATGTCTTGTTCAGCAGTATATCACTTAGTGTTGTAGAAAGAAGAAGGGATGGGATCTGAGACTTGGCAAACTTCACAAGATCTACTATTATTACCATTTTCAATTATATTTTCTTAGAGAATGCAACATTAGTCTTACTATTGCTTAATTCTTTTGAAAGTGAAAGATGCTTGTGCCATATTTGGCTTGAGGCAGAGTCCAAAATCCAGTAAATCCTTGGACATTTTGAATTTGAAACAACATTTTACCTCCCAAATGATACCTGGATGTTATAATACACCATAAGCTTCAATATGAGACAACAGTGTGTTTTTGTTGAAAAACAAACAACCCCCCCAACTTTCCCCCCGCCCCCTCCTCCAAACCAGCAGCACACTTGGTGTTGTTAACAGAAGTGTCTCTTGCAAATCAAGGGAAGTGATTGTACTCCTCTGTTCTGCACTAGTGAGGCCTCACTTGGAGTGTCCAATTGTGGGCCCCACACTTCAAGAAAGATATGGACAAATTAGGAAGAATCTATCAGGCTAGGGCCAGACATTCAAAAAGCCTGAGCCTGAATTGATTCACTCTTCACAGGTTAGTCTAAGCTGCGCAGCTTAAACTGGTTAATAACTGGACAGACATTCTCTGTTAAATCAGGAAATGCAGGCACGTGCCTGCAGTGGCTCAAGTTGGAAGCTGGGGGGGACACTAGATCATGACTGCCAGCGACTGCTGAAGAGGAGGGAAGAGATGCCTTCCAGAGCTCTCACCCCTCCCTATTGGAGTGGAGAGGGTGTGGCCAGGCACCAGCCCAAGGCTAGTAGGACACACAGGATGCCAGCCATTGGGTGGAGCTGCTGCCAGACTGATGAGTGGGGATGGGAAAAAGGTCCTTTCTCTGAAGCAAGCATGTATTAAACACAACAATTTAAAACCATACAACAGAGAACTACCAAAAATCTTCACCTAAGCTAAGGTACAGCCCAGTAAAACACAGCATACACAATTTAGTCTAACTTAAAATGTAAAGCAGGAAGACAAGAAAAAGCCTGGCATAAGTCTTATTATCCAGAGGGAAGAGTGTCTCCTTACAGCCAGGCATTCAGAAAGTCTTTGTTTAGGTTTTACAAGTTCAGCTTTATAATGTAAATGTAGCTCTCCGCATTCTTTGATCTGCAACTTTCAGCCAGAAGCTATCTGCAAGTTCCCTTAATTCCATCTCTGGCACATATGTGTGATGACTGTCATGTCTTTGCCAACACTTCCCACCTCTCAGTCTGGGGCTCTAGGCTTACAGGTTCAGGTCTTGCCTCTCTCTCCTCTGGAGCAGAGCCCAGCCCTCTGGAGCAGAGCCCAGCCCAGAGAGCATGCCTGGATGCTGGGGGTCTCTGGTTTAACTTAAATCAGCAAGGGGTTTGGGACAGACATTGCATAAACTGGTTTGACCCAAATCAGTTAAGTCTGATGCTACATTCAACCACATTTATCTCAAACCAGTTTCAACCATTTTCAAATTGGTTTACATGCATTGAATGTCTGTTTTGTTACAGGTTTAAACCAGTTTCTGATCACTTAAACCAGTTTATGTGTAATGTCTGTCCCTAGCCTCAGAGAGTGGCAAAAAAGGAAATGTGATTTATAAGGAAAGTCTGAAAGAACTAGGATTATTTAATCTGGAGAAGAAAAGATTGAGGAGCGATTTAATAACAGTCTTGGAATCTTCAAAACAGTCTTCAAGAGAGATTACAAAGAGGATGGAGATAGCCTTTTCTCTGTGGCTGTAGGGGACATTGACTAGAAGCAATGGCCTCAAACTGCAATTGAGGAAATTTAGATTGGAGAGTAGAAAGAATATTCAGACTATGAAGATAGTGAAGCATTGGAACAGACTATCTAGAGGTATGAAATCTCCATTCTTGCAAGTTTTCAAGAGCAGGTTAGAACGACACTTGGCTAGGATGGTTTAGCTAGGAATGATTCTGCCTTGAGCAGGAAGCTGGACTAGATAACCTTGTGAGGTTCCTTTCACCTCTACTTTCCCATAATCCTATGGAGTAATAAAAAATAAACAATATTTTACCTCTCCTGCTTTGAGACTTATTAGAACAGTTTTTAAGCAGAACTCTGATTTTAAAAGATAACAAAAATCTCTCTCCTTTGTCATGTTAGATAAATCAGATTCTTAATAAGTCAAGATTAAAGATAGGTACAAGGTGGCAAATTCAGACCTTGATCTAAACATTTGTTTAAAATAAAGGATTTCTGATTTAATAGGTTGGTTCCATTTGCAATTGAAACTACTGCAAGATTCAGAACAGTTCAGCTTTAGGTTTTTGTTATAAATTTATTACAGTGTAACCAAGAACTGATGGAAGATTACAGTCCCATACTTAAATGATCTTTTATACAAATACCTGAACAAAACTTATGTTAAAGGCAAGAAGAAAGAGAAAAATTTCATTGTTAAATATTTTCTTGTCAAGTCTGTGATAAAGACTATTAATTTAAGTGAAAGTTTGACACTATGCAAAAAACAGTATCAGGCACGTGACTGTGAGTTCCTACCTGGATCAAATTATATCCTGTGCGCTGAATTAGTGCACGGAGGGCTGCTTCTTTCTGTGTGCCGGTCAATCCATCCCCGGATTTTTGATTTGATTCCATTGTGAGTGATTATCAGCAAAAAATCAGGTTAATTAGGGGTGCTCACTGCAATCAAATTTAAGATAAATTAAATAAATTAATTCTTCTAAAAGGAGAAGGTCCATTTCATTGAGGATATTTACCTGGATCATTCTCCCTAAATCAGTAATTTGAGGTAATCTTGCCAGAAGAACAACAGATCTTGGTCATGAAACAACCTCTCCATTCACATTTTATGTAGAGAAGAGACAGGAAACAACAGTCAAAGGCATTGCTACATTTGGAACAAGGTGTATGCATGTGGGATTTAGACACTAAACCCTGCAAGCAATTCTATGGTGCCAGACCCTTGCATTTAACCTTGAGCCCTCTCAAAACCAGTGGACCATTTCCCAGGCTCTGGAGAGCATTGTATGGGAACTGGGCTCAGATTTGGCCCCTTGGGGAAAAATATCTGCTATTCTCTATTCAAGTTCAGATTTTGAACAACATCAGTTATGTGATAGCTGGGTTCAGGATTTTAGGTCTGGGCCAGATCTAAATTTTTAATTTAAAATTGTTTTAAAATTCAACATTTTTTTTTGGTTGAAGTATTGGTTAAGCTTCCTTTCAAAAAGGTTTGAATTAGGTCATGGACTGTCAAAAAAGCATATCTTAAGAGTGGCTTTTCTGAATGAAATGTTAATAATAACATTTACTGTGCACAAAGCCTTGAATTCGTATGTGCAGATAGTATTTTCACATATAAAAAGAATCTGAAGATGAAAGGCTGAATTTGGAGGCCAGCAAAAATATAGCTGTCCAATAATGAATATGCTACAGTCCAAAGGTGTTACAACTTTTTTCTAGGTCCTTACAATCCTCCAATCACTTACTTGTACACTCAGCTTTACGTATGTGAAGAGCCCCTCTGAACAAAATGAGACTAAAGCTAAGCATGTGTTTAAGTTTTTGTAGGGTCAGGACATAAATTATGATCTAGTCATTTAATTATAGTTACATATGATTTCCTCTTTCATATATACAGTTTGGATAGTGCTTACTTAAAAAGCAGCTATTCAACATAATGTTCTCTCTTTGTTGTTCAATATGTATCCCCTTACATCATCTACTGCATGCTATTTAAACCCCACTTTGAAGACAAATGATTAATTTTCTTCGTAGGCTTTTCTATAGCACTCATCACCTGAGTGCTTCACAAAAGTTTAATACATGTATTTTCACAATACCCCATGAGTTGAGGGACAAAGATGTGGACAGCAAGGTTAAGGTCAATTGTGCACTAATTCTGAGTGCACACTTTTAGACACAGACCTGAATTTTTAGAGTAGTTTAGAATTATACAGCACTTCATCTGTTCAAAATACAGCTTCATTTAATTTCATTTGTGTGCATAAGACCTCAGCACTTTTGCAAATCAGGCCCTAGGATGTCATTTTGGGCTTCCAGAAAATGAAGAGCAGCCAGTTAGTTACCACCTTTGGCCAGTTTGGTTTAAGTGTCTCACATTACTCAGGAATGTAGTGGCAGAAGCAGAAAAGAATAGTATAATCCAGTTATCCAGGGAAGCTTTTAAGTGCTTTAACCTTCTTTTTACAGGGGTATAGGTTGTAGCCATGTTGGTCTAAGGACATAGGCAGACAGTGGCAAAACATAGCAGGTGCATGTGCACCCCCTGAGAGCACTGGCACACCCCCTCACAGGCAGCGCTCCCCACTTAAGCAACAGCAGTAGGGGGCAGGCAGGAGTACTGGTGCCCCCCCGTGAGTGCCGGCTGGGGAGTGGGGACACCAGGTGAAGCGCTGCTTGCACTTCCAGGAGCTTAGCTTGCGCTTCCTGGTCAGCACAATCAGCTGCAAGGGGACCCCCCCTGGGCAGTGAGATTGGCTGCGGGGGGACTCCCCCCCCAATCACTGACTGGCTGCTGGAGGGGCATGTGCCCTCCCTGACTCAGGCTTCCTTGCATGCATACCAGCCTCTGGCTTCTTTAATATTCATTCCATCCAGAAAGAGCACACACCAACTGCAGATGCTACCTCAGCCTGTTGAAGGGTGTTTATGTTCAAAAGCTTGCTAAAAAGAATTTTTCCAACTATTTGAGTTGGTCTAATAAAAGGTATCAGATTTACCCAAAGAACCTTGTTAACCTCCTTTTGTCTTTTTGCAGTTGCCTGGACTTGTTCACTTTACATTATCTGACTTCTGTGACAGATGAAACATAGATCCTAAGGGCAGTGTCTTCCTTAATGTACAGCCCTGAGCAGTTAAATTCTTTGTGCTTAATGAGGCAGAAATAAATAGTGAAAAATAGTTATTTAATTAAAAACTATATATCATAAGCCAAATTAAGCTGCACATGCAACCTTAACTGTGGCACTTTCTAACTTCAGACTGCTTGTTTTTGAAAGCTGGTGTGTGTGATTTCCTAGTTTTTATAAAAAGCAAACAAAGCCCAGCAATGTTATTCTTTGGTATACTAGAACTCACATTGGTCATGAAGAGTATTGGAAGCTTTAGCTGTAAAGCATAGGTAGCTCTTTCCTGCTTGAGCTAACATATAAGTGAAAGCAGTAAGAAGTCATTCTGTATAGATAAGCAGTAAAAGATGGAGCACTTTGCAGATGAGTTTCACAGATGTTTGCTGACAGATGACTGGTGAGATTTGGGGCTATTCAATTCCATACTGGAAGAGACTGTTATCTAGGGATTACAAGTGATTCTTTTACTACTGTACTCAATCCTTTCTGCTTTACCTTCATAAACCTATCTCAGTTTTGCCTCTACTGAACTTGGCTCCTTGTCACAGTCTTGTCTTCCTCACTAAGTTGATCTCAGGCTCCAGTTCTGAGATTTCTAATTCCAATACCAGTCTTTGTCCAGTAACTCTAGCCTCATTTTTTTAGATTGCCTGTCCCAGCGCTCCCTACATCCAGTCTCCTTGCTCACTAATTCATAGTGACCTATGCCCCCTGGTTCCCACTCCCCTGTGAAGGATTAAGGCAGTGGTTTTCAACCTTTTCTTTGGCATTAGGGAAATGCCAAACTTTCACTTTCACTTGTTTCACTTTGTTTTTGTTTTTACTACAAAAACATAGTAGGGCAGTTCTTTTGTTGCAAAAAGCTCAGCCCACAACAGGTCAGCATGTTTTTGACACTGTGGATTCCTATGTGAGTTTGGGTTTATCTTGTGAATTCTATGTTTGCACACCTGTGGCACCCTGGCTGAAAAGCACTGGAGTAAAAATCCTTTGCTGCAGTGTGCCTTGGAGTGTGAAATTTAACCGTGTGAATTACAGCTATGACTACTTCTATTTCTTTCTTAAAGGGGGAAAACACTCTTTTCATTCAGAAAATGGTGTTTTTGGTCATTTCCTTTCTGATTTGACTCTCCCTGTAGTTATAACCCTCACTTATTCTATCTGATACCCTGCTAAATTATGAAGCATTTAGATAGTGGTGTCTGCTTTTAATGTATTTTACATTTAATTTAGTGCACAAATTTCAATGTTATGAGGTTTTTTTCCTGATGTAAATGTACTGGCTAGATGTTGCTATCAGATACACATGTGAAATTCCCATTGATATAACTGAAATAAAAAGACTGCTTGACCACAGCTTATGTCAGACTTTGGCCTTGAGGATTTTTCAGTAGAAACTGGGCCACCAAACTGTAATGAACTAAGCTCTAAAGATTTTATAAGTCCCCAAATTACCCAGCTTTCAAAATCTTCTACTAACATTTCAGTCTTATTTTCAGCTAATTTGGGTCATATTATTTTGGCCTTTTAATCTGCTTCCTTACTAGATTTTTATATACTTTTCACTGCCTACAATAAATATCAATAGTTAGTTTTTATACAATTGTATACCTGAATTATTTGTTGCATACATTAGAGCTAGTTGAGAAATCCATTCTGTTCCCCTATTTCTTGGGTGATTTCTCTCTCTCTCTATTTTTTTGGAAGTGCTTCATTTGGTTGTGCTTTCCATGAAATGTGGTAATTCAGTAATTAAGACTAATGTGCCCTGGCTGGTGGATGGACTATGTTATTTAACAGAACTTTTGAAAACATTCATTCTTTTATTATAGATTGAAAAAATAAACCAAAGTCTAATAATAGCATTGGTTTATAAGCATAATACTACTTAATAATACAATCTGGGAGCTATGTGAGTATGTGTTCAAGCTCTCTGATTTTTTTAAATAGTTTTTAAATTAGAATTCAATTTTCTGAGAGGATTTATTATAACTGTTAAGAAGTTCAGAGTGAAACTGTGAGGAGATATATTTTATAGCTGAGGCTTTGAGGTTGCTTAATGGGACCAGGTATAGACATTACACTTTTGCTGGTATAAGTGATCAGAAACCAGTCTATACCCATAATAGAAAAGAAGTCTGTCGCACACAACTGGTTTATACCTGTAACAGAACAGAAGTTTAGCACACAATACAATGGCTTAAAAATATCAGATCCTGGTCTAAGATGTTCTCCCACCACCAAAGGGTGGATGTGCATTTTATTTGCAGCCTTCAAACTACGTTGCTTGCTGAAAGCCATACAACTTGGATCAATTCTGCCTTGGGCTTTTTGAATGTCTGTACCCAGACTGGTTTCCAGTCTAGCTGATGCCTGATCTCAGTGATCTGACATGATAATTCCCTTATGTGCTGCTACCTTAGATGTTTTCCTGTTCCCAATGAAGTCAATGAAAAATTCCTTCTGGAGACCAATGGCACAGGGCAGAAATTTTAGTTGGAATTAACATCTGATGCTTCTTGGCATTTATAACTGGAATTGCCCATTGCAATGATAATTTTTTCATGGCCATTACATTTCTGACCCTGCCTACCAACACAAGTCAGGATTAATTGAAATTTGTTTGGCTAATTTTTAATCTAAAAATGAAGTGCCTAAAGTAGCAGGTGATGAGCTATTGTTTCAGAAATCATCTGATTGATGACTACTCAAAGGAATTTTAACAACACCCTCTCCTTCACCCTTCAGTCCAGCTGTCACTTGTCATGGTTTTATAAGCAAAGCTTCCTTTCTAAAAATACCTCTTGC